TGCATGAAGCAGATGAATTGCAGTGTGCATCTGTTCCAGGGAGCTACTGGGAACTGCTCTGAGAATGTCAACCCCACCTGACCCTTACTTGTTCCTTCCTCAAGCAGTACCCAGTGGGACAGCAACTAAGTCATCGCAGTCTGTCACCCAATTTTGAGGGGGGTATATGAGTCACTTTCCCAGCACTTGGGGGACCTCAAATCCTTCTGCTAATGCTGTAGTATACACAGATGTTACAAACTGGCTGTGCTGGATTGAATAATGTCCCTCCCTAAATGCATGTTTCTTATCCCTTCTAAACAGGTAGTCCAGCTGATGTGTGACTCCATAGAGCTCCAGGTAAGATAGTAAGAGGGAAACAGTCACAGTGTGAAACGCCAAACAGACCAGGTCAAGAATACGTGGTAAAGGTCATATTGTCCTCACACACAGCAACTGCCAAGACCTTTCACACACCACCAGAGCTGCAGATAAATTTCAATTTTAGACACTCAGCGTCAACAGCCTGGAACGATTGTCCATGTTGCTGGCAACCATTAACAATTAAAAATACTTCAGTTTGCCATGGAAACAGAACCAACATACCAGTTATTATCAATAGTTTCTCATCCTGAAACCCAAATCCAACTCTGATTTCCATAATTATCTAGAATTGATTCTAAAAAGTCCTCAGAAGACACAACATTTTTTTTAAACCAAAGGCAAATTGAAGTAATCCTTCTCCACACCTGCCTGCCAACACTGCCTCAGCTTGTTCTCAGGACTCCCATCCAGGAGAGGAAAATGCAGTCATTGTGCAGTAGGCTATGCCCAGGAACAGAAAGTAAGGATTACATCATGTGCACAGGGGCAGGAGCCTTACACTCCCAGACAAATCTAGCCTTGTGTAACAGCAGGTTCTTAAAGGGCACGAGTGAAAAGCTAGGAACATTTTGCCTTTCAGAGCAAGGCCCCTACGTCACCCAGTCCTGGGCTCTGGTACTGAATATTGGCCTGAATGACAGAAGGAAAACATGCCTCAAGACTTTCTTTCCTCCAGACAGATCGGTTCTGCCTGCAGGATTCAGCATCTCCCTTAATTCCTGCCATGAGCAGAATTACCTGTGGCTATGGATCAGACTGTGGTGCAAGTCCAGGCCTGAAGCACTGCCCTCGGTCACAGCGTTCACGGCCTGCCCTGAGCCACTTTCCTAGGGGCTCTAGTCTGACTCCCTTTCTCCTGCTGATAGCCAACCTCGGGTCTTTGCCACTAATATCAACAGCAACACTCCCACGGCCTCATGTCTTCATTTAGCTCTCCCTTTCTCCTGTCTTCACAGTCAAGCCTTGGAAATGGTGCTCAGGGTTTGCCATGGACTTCAGCTCCTGGTCAATCCCTAGACCACAGCATCCGTCTGTCATTCCCCAGCACTGCACTTACATTGCCTGGGATAACATGACCACAACTTAGGAACTATCAAGTACAGCAGCTCCTTCCCAGGCCTCATTATTTTTTCACATTATGTCATAATTCAGATTATTCATCACTGTTTGCTTTGACATCTCTTTCCATTTAGCTTTCACACTACCATGCCCCATATCTCTGGCCACTCATGGTGTTTCATCTGCTGATTCTTTTTCTTCCATTTGCCTCCCACATTTTCGGGTGCCCTTAGATCCCATCTTTGTTCTTCCTGGCCATGTCCTCCATTTACAATTGGTTCATTATTATCCACAGTCAAGGTTTTCTCACCACAGGATGGGTTTGCCAACTACAGACAAATCTCCATCTACAGACATCATTTCCAGGCCCCGCCTTCATTTGGTCATCTGCCTACTGATATTATTTGTTGGGTTTTACATATACCCAATAAAAACAATTTGTTGGTTATATACCCAATAAAAACAATTTGTTCAGGGCCAGATATTTTCTTTACTCCAATATTGATTTCTCTTCTAATATTTCATTTCCTTGGTTTTGGTGAATATTAGTGAAGCCATAACACTGAATGTCTGTTCTGACCTCTCCAACTTTATCTACCTCTCGCCTACCCCAAACTGTTTGCCAAATTCTACATTCCAAAGCAGTAAACTCATCTCTCTGTAGTTGCTTTCAGCTCTAGCCATCATAATTTGTCACCAGTCATTGCATTACTTCCAATGGCTTTCCCTACTTGCAATTTTATTTTTTCTAATTGATATTGCAACTGGAATTTGATTTCTAAAGAGGTTGATTGCTGGCTTTAAATTACTCACCTCTCTATTCAAAGTACAATTCAAATCTTTATTATAACTGTCATGACCTTCATAAGTCTACCCTTATCACTTCTCTGATCTCAAATGTCAATATCCTCTAACACATCCATCCAAACAAGATGTACTTGTTGTCCATGTCTTTGTCTTTCAAATACCCTCTACCTGCAACACCTTTGACCACTTCCCCCTGGCCAATGGCTACCACCTTTCAGGACCCAGCTCACTCATCTCCTCCTCCAGGAAGTCTTTCCTCTGACGAACCCCCAGAATAAAATAAGAGCCTTTTCATGAGCTACCAAGCGTCCTGTCCTTGCTGGTATTATAAGCACTTGCCCAACATTGTGGTCATTGTTTGCGACTTCTTCCCTACCAGGTTATGAGCAGCTTCAGGGCAGAAATCACATTTTGTTCACCTCTGTCTGCAGAGCCTAGCCCAATGCTTGGCAAAGGCTTTTTTTGAATACATGAACAGAATAAACAAAGTAAGATGGAGATGTGCCCATGGCTAAGAATACAAAGAACCATAGTCTTGGAGACCACAAAGAAAAAAACAGTAGACTCTACAAAGTTGGTTTAGAGAGGAGTTTAAAGCTCAAGCTATTACACACGGTAATGGGGCTCTTTACATAAATGGGCTATGTTAGGACTGTAGTAATATGTACATTCATTGAGCAGTCGTTCTGTACATCATTACACCTTAATCTAAAAATCTGGCAGCACCATTGTGCATGGTGAACAAAACAGATAACTCCGCCCTTCTTCCTACTGCTCTGTCCATATGATTTAAAGTTGATGATTGCAATGTCTTTTCTCTGTACACCACTCACCATCTTAGGTGATTTATTTGTATTTCCATTGAGTCTTCATATCAACCCCATTGCACAAACAGAAAGAGAACTCAAGCAGCTGTGGTATTTTTGCTCTAAGTCATATATACAGTGTGTGACTGAGCAAAGGATTTAGTCCAAAGCCCCTGATTACTCTTCCTGCTCTCGATCATCAGACTCTAACAATACAAATTCAACTTGAAAATCATTTGTATTCTACCTAGATATTTGGTTATTGGAGCCTCCAGATAATTCTAAAAGTTATAAAGGATTATTTCAGCTATTCTTTCATAGGTAGTACTGTTAGTCTAGGGAGGAGGACTCAGAACAAAAATCGATCCCCAAAAACATGGAAGTTTTTCAAGTGAGCATTTATGTACCGAGAAAGTGTGGATATTAAGGTGATTTATCTCCCTCTTCTGGCCTTTGGAGCCTGGAGAATGGAGGATTAAATGGGTTTGAGAGGTAAGAACCTTACCTTGAGCAAGTGCTGTGCTTCAGGTAGCTTGCCTAGTCATTCGCAAAAGGCAATGATCTTCCGAAGTGGCATGAGTGTGATTGGTATACAAGAGGCCACTTGCTACTTGGAGCAGCAAAGTTATTCAAGGTGTTCAGAAAAATAAATCTGTATCCCATGGAAGTGTTCTTTAACGAATGAATTATGCAGAGGGAAGGGGAATTTTATTGCAATATTCACTTTGAGAGAAGAGAGAGAGCCTGAGAAAGACATAAATGGAAGCGGTCAAATCTCCAGCAAAAAGGGCAACTACTTTTTCATTGTGATCCCACAAGGCCTTCCAGATTCCCTAGGAAGAAAAAGATTTGCTTCAGTGGAAAACTAGACATTGTCTACAGTATACCCTTCCCTGTGATCAGTTCCTGATTTTATAGGAAATATTTTACATCCCTGTGAAGTGTAGCTAACGGACAGTAATGCAAAATAATCTCACCTATAGACATGCAAATGAACTCTCTCTGGCAGAGAGATCACACTTCCTTATAGGAAAACCAATTTTTCCTCCATTTGCACATTCATTTCAATGTTCCTTTACTTAAAAAAAAATTCTGTTCCTTGCTGGTTATAACATCTGCCTAGATCTCTAATGATGAGTAAAGTAAAATGAGTTCGATGTTATATCCTTATGGGAGTTAGGAATTTACCTTTTTAGAAACTTACCTTTTCGCACTTTGTGACTGAGAATTGCCCAGTGCCCATTCCTCCTTGATCCAGCTCTGAACTGAGCCTCAAGTTTTGAGATGCCCAAGTGCCAAGCTTCAGATTATGGCTCTTGTGTTGGGAGAAGATTGTGTTCACACTCGGAAGACTTGAGGGTCCCCCGGCCATGCCCTTGGGTTAACGGACAGCTCCTTTGGTGCTCTGCTCAAAAGTTGAGCTTTCCAATAATGTGAAAAAGGGCATAAGGGTTTTCATTGGCTTTATTGAAATTTAATTTATTTATATTTAAAATGCATCCATTTTAAGTGTGGTATGTGATGAGCTTCAACAAATGTATACAGTTGTCTACCATCACTACAATCAAGATGTCAAACTTTTTTTTTTAAGATTTTATTTATTTATTTGAGAGGTAAAGTTATAGACAGTGAGAGGGATAAACAGAGAGAAAGGTCTCCCATCTGCTGGCTCACTCCCCAAATGGCTGCAACATTTGGAGCTGAGCCGATCCGAAGCCAGGAGCTTCTTTGGGTCTCCATGTGAGTGCAGGGGCCCAAGGACTTGGGCCATCTTCTACTGCTTTCCCAGGCCACAGCAGAGAGCTGGATCAGAAGAGGAGCAGCCGGGACTAGAACCAGCACCCATATGGGATGCCGGCGCTTCAGGCCAGGGCATTAACCCACTGTGCCACAGCACCAGCTAGATACATAAATTTACAAGAACAAAAGAAATCTAGCCCTAACCATGTACTCCCCTTGCACCAGGTCGGACAGACGCTAACCACTGAAGACACCTCTGGGGCCCATGGGTCTGGAGACGGCATGGGCAGAATCCACATGAACAAGTTCACCGCCGAGAATTCCTCCGTCGTTGATCTGCCTTCCTACAAGTTGCCACCCTCAGAAACAAATTCCTTTGCCTTTGCCTTTTCCTTGCCATATCTCTAAAAATGCATCATTGTTGAAGATGCGCTCGAGGAGTACCCATTCCTTGTGTGTCTGTCATGTATGTACACAATACCCAGGTTAACAGACACCTGTTTGCTTTTCCCTCGTTAATCTATTTTCTGTTACAGGAGTCTGCTCCAGCTCCCACTGAACCGATTACCGTACCAGCAGATGGAGGTCCCTTCCTATTCTGAGGACAACTTCCTCAGGCTTCCAGGAGAGTCCCAGTTTCCAGTATATGTTTCCCAGACCTACAACGCCAGTCGCAGAATAAACCTGCTGTCTCTAACTGTATGTGCACCGGTCAACCTCGTGCTGGGCTGGCCTCCTGCTCATGACGGCCCCGCTCGGCTCCACCCTAAAGCCCAGACCGCCCCTGACCATCTTCTCTGTCAAGCCCTATTAAAGGAGTGCATTAGGCTGTCACCCACAGCAGCATTGCTGTAGCCTGCTCTCGGCCTCCCCTGCTCCAGCCATTGCTATGGTGACCAGGTGTGCGCAGGCTCTGCCAGCTTCCTGCAGCCACAGAGTGTCTCCTGTCAGTCTTCTCCCTCAGCTCCTGCTGCCCAGCCTTCTCCAGCTCAGCGTTTGTCTATTTCTCTCAAAAACAACTGGCAAGTGCCTGTCCACTCTTGCCCTATCCTGGAGATTTCTTACACCAAGTCTTCTCCCTCGGCTCCTGCTGCCAGCCCTGAGCATCTCTGACAAGGAACTGCTTTGCACTCACAGGAACCACCTGGAAGCGGGTGTAAGAGGTATGAGGGGGCCAGGAGCCTAGAACTCCGCCTGGATTTCCCACATGGGTGGCAGGGACCCAAGTACTTGGGTCACCTTCTGCTGCTTTCCAGGCATATTAGGGAACTGGGTTGGAAGTGGAGCAGCAGGTCTCAAACTGGCACTCATATGGAATACTGGCATTGCAGGTAGTAGTTTAACCCTGTGCCATAACGCCAGCCCCATATAAGAGCACTTCAAACAATTTATAGAAAATGAAATTAAGAGATAAGTTTATTTGCATGGAAAAAATTTGAAATCCATTTATGCAGGAGGTCCTGAAAAAGTTTATGGAAAATGCACATTATAAAAAAAACTGCATGGATTTCAAAAAAAATTTTTGCATTCAAATAGCGTTATTTGCTTTCATTTCTCCATGAGAAGTATCTTGATATTGGATGTGTGTATGCATGTGTACAGTGCTTTTTCCCAGCTTTTCTAATTTTGGATTTAGTCATTGATACACTGATTCATTCAACCCCACTCAACCAGCCAGTAATTGAACCTTGTTTCCTCCCAGCTTATGCAATTGTTGCACAATTCAGATTTTGCCTATATAAAAATCACTGCTAGGTTATCACCCTGTATTTCAAAGGTGTAGAACCTGCAACACAAACATTTATGCACATAATCTCATTTAAAAGAGTTCTCACTCTTGAAACCCCCAAGGTATTTTCATATGCAATAGCTTTTTTTTTCTACTCCAAATCAGTTGTCTTGGGTTTACAAATGCCTTCCACTCTTGCTATATCTTGGTGGCTTTTTGTATAAGACTGAAAAACACAACGATAAAGATACAGGGGCTGATGTTGTGGCATTAGCAGGTTAAGCCTCTACCTGCTATACTCACATCCCATATGAATGCAGGTTTGAGTCCCAGCTGCTCCACTTCCAATACAGCTCCCTGCTGATGCACCTGAGAAAGCAGCAGAAGAGGGTCCAAGTGCTTGGGCCCCTGCAGCAACATGGGAGAACCAGAAGAAGCTCCTGGCTCCTGACTTCAACCTGGCCCAGCATTTGTGGCCACGTGGGTAGTGAAACAGCAAGAGGAATATCTCTTTATATCTCTGTAGTTTTGCCTTTTAAATAAATAAATTAAATAAGTCTTTTTTTAAAAAAAAAAAAGGATAAAGACACAAAAACCCTGGAAATAACATGAATTGGTGCAATGGAAAACCCCACAGGAGTGCCAGGAACCTGAAGGCAAAAAGCTGTTGGGGGCTGCTGCCTCCCCAAGCCCTGGCTTCCTGGCACTAGTCTGCCTTCCAGCTCAGTGTGTGTTTTATGCAGAACACAGTCTTCTCCACGTCTCTCACATGCTATCAGCACCTTCTGGAACAACAGGTAAAGGTCAGGTTTGCATGCGTCACAGCTTACAGTACCTGCCTGGGAAGTCTAAAGTTTCCATCTCTCCCAAGACACCAGCAGGGCTGCCAGTTGTTTGCTCCTAGGAGTCTCTGGTACTGGTGAGTGGCCTTGTGAAAAAGTCTCCTCCATCCTGTTGATTCTTCTAAAAATCATTTATTTATTTATTTGAGAGGGAGAGAGACAGAGTGCTACCATCTGCTGATTCACTTCCCAAATGCCCACAATGCTGGGAGCCTGGAGCTCAACCCAGGTTTCCCATGTGGCTGGCAGGAATCCATCTCCCTGAGCCATCACCTGCTGCCTCCCAGGGTGCACTTTAGAAAGAACGCAACAATCAGGAGCCAGAGCTGGGGCTCGAACCCAGGCAGTCCAGTGTGGGACAGAGGCATCTTCACTGGCGTCTTAATCACGAGGCCAAGCACCCACATCTATTCTGTTTAGCTTATCCTGTTACATAATCCTGCAGAAAATGCAAGATCAAAGACCCCGGAGGTCTTAGCTGCAGTCAGAGCACAGAAGCACAGAGCCGCAGTGACTCCCTGGGGAAGAGTGGTGAGCACGGGTCCTGCGGGGGCCTCCCCTGGGTTCGAAGGCATTTTGTACTCTATCACACGAAAGGAAGCACACATTGCCCACAGCCAGACAACTCCAGGGGAGCCCCTCCCAGCTGATCTGCAACTGCAGGGTTCTGCCCCAGCACACTGCACTGGAAGCCGTAGTGTTCAGACATGGCTGGCAGCTCGCCTGAATAAGGGCAAACCACGCAGACCCCTCCTGAAGCCAGGACAGGTGGAGGAGTGTGAGCTTGACTGACCGGTCTTCCGGCTGGGCAGGGGGGTCAGGGATGGTTTAAGAATAGAGGGAGGGCCGGCACTGTGGTGTAGCGGGTAAAGCTACCACCTGCAGTGCTAGCATCCCATGTGGGCGCTGGTTCAAGTCCCAGCTGCTCCACTTCCCATCCAGCTCTCCGCTATGGCCTGGGAAAACAGTAGAACATGGCCCAAGTCCTTGGGTCCCTGCACCCATGTGGGAGACCTGGAGGAGGCTCCTGGCTCCTGGTTTTGGATTGGCTCAGCTCTGGACATTAAGGCCATTTGGGGAGTGAACCAGCGGACAGAAGATCTCTCTCTCTCTCTCTCTCTCTCTCTCTCTCTCTCCCCCATTCTCTTTCTGTAATTCTGACTTTCAAATAAATAAATAAAATCTTTTAAAAAAATAGAGGTGACTCACTTCCCAGAGTGGACACCCCCTCTGCTACAGCCCCAACCCATTCGTGACACTGTCTACACATCTGGAGCCTAAAGTTAAGCGAACAATCAGCACTGAACAAAAAGGGTGAGATTTTGTCTGTGTGCCTGGGAAAGTCATCATTGGCCTTTAGACCAGCAGGGGGACACGGAGTGTCCATTCCTTCCAGTCCTCTGTGTGTGTGGCACACGTCCTTGATTCATAAAGCTCTTAACATGAAGTGGTGTCTGGGCCCACAGGTGCGCTGGAGGTGAGGAAGGAGAGGGCCTGGAATAGACCTAGAGATGGCCCCCAACACGGCTCCCCTTCCCATTCCCCTGCTCCAGGTCAGGATGGGCAAGTGTGAGCAGTTCCTCAGCTCCTCTCCCCTAAGGGACTTCAGACGGGAGCAGGGACTTCGGACGATTGTTAGCGGCACAAGGCTGGGAAATGACCAAGTCAGGTATTTGCTAAGCTATTTAATGAGGCTGCATAAGCAATAAGAAGAGGTTGATAGGGTTTTAGGGCCTTGGAGGTTTCCAGGGTGAATTAAAGAAAGCAGTGGAGTAAGAAGAGGGTGGATTTAAAAATTAACCTGTGTGTGAATGTACTATGTTCGGAACAGGAATTAAAAAGCAAACAAGGATTAATTGATCCCTCCTCCTTCCAAACCAGGACGCTGGCATTTCAGGAGCAAAATTGATTGGTTGAGAATACACTCTGCTGAGTAATTAAACAAGGAGGCCAATCAATTCTGCATAGCTGGGAGTTAGACACCCACTGACGAGCTAACACAGGAACCCAGGAGGGGACTGAGTTGCTGGTGGACTCACGCGAGACTGGATCTTAAGGTTTCTGCATCAAAAAAGACGAAGCAACACTTTGCTCTGCTCACCTTTCTTGCTTTAAAAACTTCTGTGATTCAGTATTAGCTCTGGCAAAAAGAAGGATCTCCACTTGGAGCATTTCTCCTGTTGACAGGTGACAGATGTAAAGGACCCAATTTGTGATTACATGGTTCGCTTACGTAACTGCAATTAAGCTGCCTGTCAAGTTCACGTCGCCAAATAAAAAATTACAACCAAGTTACTTATTAGCTACCTTGAACCTGTCTCCCTAAGAGCTAGAAAGCTAGCCAGAGAGCTTGTTTACAACACAGCTAGAGCGATCTGCCTTGCTGTTTGTTGTGGTTTTAAAAATCCCCGGGTCATCCCGTGTATGTGTGTGTGTGTGTGTGTGTGTATACCAACACCTGCAGCTGCCCAGGGATGTGTAGGGACTAAACAGACCAACAGGCCCAGCAGCCACCTGCAGGGACACACAGCTCCGCACGGGAGGACCTTGTTCCAACTCTCCCACAAACCAAAGCCCTGGCCTTGGTTTTAGTACCCAGCAGGTGGAGGTAGGGAATGATAAGGCTCAGGTCCAAGGTAGAGGCAGACAGGGCTCTCCTTAAGAGCTCATGAAGAGGCTGGCATTGTGGCACAATAGAGTAAGTCTCCGCCTGCAGTGCCGGCATCCCATATGGGCACTGGTTCCAGTCCCGGCTGTTCCACTTCGATCCAGCTCTCTGCTATGGCCTGGGAAAGCTGTAGAAGATGGCCCACTGAACCCATGGGGGAGACCCGGAAGAAGCTCCTGGCTCCTGGTTTCGGGTTGGCACAACTCTGGCCTTTGCAGCCAGTTGAGGAGTGAACCAGCAGACGGAAGACCTCGCTCTCTGCCTCTCCCTCTCTCTCTCATTCTGTAACTCTGCCTCTCAAATAAATAAGCAAATTTTGTTTTAAAACGTATAATAAATCTTGAAAAGAGCTCATCAGGGGAAAGCCCTGTTATGAAGGGGGGCAGAAGGGCTTAGGGCAGGGAGATGACCGAGGCTCATTCGGGTGCTGCTGCTGTG